GAAATCCTCCGCCCACAAGCTTCTAATCTAGACACCCAAGAGTTTGCATTATAGACATTATTCCAATTTGTTATTATTTTTACCTTTTATCACCAGAAAGGCAGTGCAGGGTGTGAGAGCCTCACCTCACCCATCTTATTCAAACAGTGCTGAAAGACACCAAGTGATAAACCCCATGGAATACAGCTGGTGGCAGGGGGTCCTTGCTAGCAAAGGAATCTAGCTAGACCCCAAGGCAGGATGACCTAGAGTGTGAAGACCCAGAAGGCTTGAGAGAAGAGTTTGAGACCTCTAGCCTTTCACCCTATAGACTCAGCTATCCCGCTACAGAAGTTTTGAAACAACAAGCCAACAAGGCAGGCTGCATTTCTGCATATCTTTTATACTTTCGCTTATCTGAATAACATTAATTTTTCATTAAAGTTATCTAACTCAACAGTATTCAGAACCAACAAGGCAGGGAAGACATACAGGGCGTGGCTTCTGGATTTTTCCCCCAACCTTTCTATCAGCAATGGTGATAGGAAGTATCTGTATTTTCTGCTGTGTTGCTGTATAATGAAGTAACATGTTAGGTCGGTGAGCATGCATGTGTTGCTGGTCTCCCCTCATGTTGCCTCTGAAGGTGTCTGCATCTGTGTACCCCAGGAAGCACAGAGTGGGCAGTGTGAGCTCAGCCCTGGGTCACGTGGTTGGGGAGTTTGTCTCCGAATGGGGAGGCGAACAGCATTTTGAGCTGCTCCTCAACTGCCTCTCTCTCCCATAGGGGTACAGCGAGGGGATATTTTCTTATCCACAGTCTGGACCATTTTCAAACTGTTTCTCTTTTGCCAGGTTCTTTCACCATATCAAATTTGATCTCATTCTGCTCAGTTTTCAATAGTTACCATCCTGTTAGACAGATAGTCCCAAGTCCCTTTAACATGCTTTTCAACATTTAGTTGACCTGGAAAAATGAGATTTGTATTCACACTACTTCCAGGATTTTCTGATTTTTTAATTCATTTATAATCCAGAAGCTAGTTTAAATCTTACATCAAAATGTAGCTACTCAAAGCTGGAAAGCACATTTCAAATTCTTAAATGTCCACTTTTGTTTTTAGAAATCCAAACAATCAGCTACCTGAAATGCCCTCAATCATCACTCCACAAATCAGAACAAGGCTAAACCTATCCATAGTCTATAAATTCTTGTGAGGCAGCTGCTTTTATGTAGGCATATTAGCTTCTTGTTAATTTAAACTGAAAATAAACAAAATGAACTTTTTGGATCAGCACACAATATGTCTAACGGATATTATTGTGCATGATTTGAATCCTGCTTTAAGCAACATTAAGCCTACTCTTGACTATATATTTTATCAAGTCTTCAATATATAAATATTTAACAAAGCCATACTTCATTGTTACTTATAATTATACCACTGAGACATAGCTTGACAACTTCCTTAAAAAATGTAATCCAGTAATGGCACATTGTAAGTTTGATAGTATTTTGAACATACAGAAAGTATTTTTCTAGCTTCATATGTCCTAGAAAATAGTTTGAGAACTGTTTTCATTAATTAAATTTGAAACTGAAACAAATAAATATTTGATTGGTTATTAACAGCAATTTATATTATAAACAGCACTGGTTTACTAGTGTTGACTAGTTACTAGTCACACAGTCCAGCCTTTTTTAAAGCTTATTAATAGTTACTGATGTACGCATCTAAAATGATTTTTTTTACTGCTTGTTACATACACACCCCTCTTTGATAAAAATAGCAAATCAGTCTTCCACAATACTGCACTGTAATATCAATCTCTGTTAAACTATTGCTTATTTAGAACTTTTGGAGATGGGTAAATCAAGTCCAAGTCCCCGCCATACTCCCTGGACTTTTCATAATGGCTCTGCTGCTAAGGATGCTAACAGACCCCCATGAAGATCAACAAACAGATCCCTTAAAGATCTCCCTAAATTACTGTGGTTGTATTTTAATTTTGAAGAATCCTAAAGAAAAAGAAAGGTCACTCACAACATTTAAAGTACTTAACATTTAGAGTACCCTAAATCTAACTTCCTCATTAGAAGTTTTCATAAAATCTTAGAAAGGCTAAATGGAAATCTGAGAGAATAAGGACGATGCTTTATCTATTACACTTGCAACAGAAGTATAACGGCATGTATCTTTATATATGTTTTAATCACTAAATATACATATGCATCTATAATTGCTGGTTACTTAAGAAGAAGTGAACAATAGGATCTTCGAATCTTTTTTTAGAACTGATTCCACAACTTAAATCACAAAATCCAGCCCATTGATAGAACTATAACAGCAAAACAATTATTACATAGTTTTTCTGCTATTGAAAATGTACTTTATCTGGACTCAACCCTCCCAATAATGTATCTTCTAAAACCCTGAAGAAATTTGGCATGAACCAGATATGTAGCTTATGGAAACAGTTCCTTTAGATAAAGAAACTTGCTGGGGATAGGGTGAGGGCTCAGAGATCAAAATATGGTTCCACATGGAGCTGTAAACACTGTTTATACTACATCTAAACTACTGATTTCTTGAATGGTATTTTACTGAATACATGGACACCTTTGCATACTTGGAAATGTGTAGTAAAATAGTTCTTACAAATACTGGAAAATGTCCAACAAAAAATACTTTCCAATTTTAGAGACTAGTTTCTGTTACTACTATTTTCTATCTAAGGGTGAAAGTTCCTAGAAAAAGAATAAATGGCTAAAAGGTTGGGGAAAGTGCTCACGTGGTAAACTACTCAGAGTCCAGATGCTCAACATTCTTGACATCAGAATGGAAAAATTTACTATTAGTCTAGAGAAATTTAATATCACAATTTTTGTCATATCCTTCATAGCTTCATTATTAGAACAAGTCTGTGGAAGCTATAAAGTAGAGTTAAATGATAAAAAAATATGGTCATTTTGTTCCATCACTTTTATGTATTACAATCATGTCAGGGAAATTTTAAATCAATACAATGACAAGTGGGCATCTCCCTTTATTTGTTAATTTACTACATTAGATTTTTGAGCTGTAATGCCAGGCTAATGCTTCAATGTTACTATAATGAACTCAAAAGAATGTATCATTAAGCCCACTGAAGTTTTACTGGATTAACAGATCAAAATATATCAACCTTTAAATTTTCCACTTTCACATAGATTAGCAGAAATTCAATTAATAATACCTATTTCAGAAAGTTTTAAGATGATTTCTATTTTTCAGGATGCTCTACAATCTGAATACGAAACATCTTTATCCTGAAAGAAATCCAAAGATTCCAATGTCAATTGCCACAGACTGCTTTTGTCTAGAAAATAAAATTTTATTTTCTAAAATTCCCAAATGTGTTGAAAATGTTAACTTAAATTGTTAAGTTGTAAGTCATAACTCTGGGACATTATTCATAATGCTCTAGTTACAGATAAACCACCTGCTAAGGAAGAAGGTAATAGCAAGTCATCTCTACATTGTTTCCGAGGAAACTACAGACATTCAAAACATTTTGAATTCAAAGTACTTCACATTTGAAATGCCCCGATTTGAATGCAAAACAGCTGTTTTGAACATTGATTTGATCATTCTGGAAATGTTTTGAGCTCCAAATGATTCAAATTTTAAATATATTGCACATGCCCAATGGACATATTCATGAAACCACTCAAAAATGTGGCTTGAAGCAGATTTTATCTTTTTACAATCTGTAAAAAACAGGATTTTTAAAAAAATCTACTTGATTTAGGTGATTTAACACAGTTAAAATACAGCATGACCTAGGGCATATGTAGCTTTATTACCAGCCAATTTTTCTTTTTTTAAAATGACTTTATTAGATTTTACGATAAGAACAATAAAAACAAAAACTAATATTAGATAAAGAATGAAAAAAGATAGAATGAAAAAGAAGAGAAAGAACAAAGTCAAAAGTGCAAAAAGAAAGAGTACAGAAAAGAATGACTTCCTACTTTACTCACAACAGACATAAGTATCAATTTACACTAAATTCTTACTCTAAATTTACATCACAACTTTCATTTTTTCTATTGTCCACTATTATTTCTAATCATCAAATCCATACATCATAATTTCATTTTTTTTCCGTTTCACGCAAAAAGTCCAAAACAGGCTTAAAATTAGCATTAAAATTACTCAATGTCTTTTCTCTAATCAAAGCTTTCAGTTTTGCCATCTCAGCCAACTCCATCAACTTCACTATCCATTTTTCCATTGTAGGTAATGTCAGATCTTTCCATCTTTGTCTATATAGAAGCCTTGCTACTGTTATCATATATAGAAACAAAGATCCATTAGATTTTTCCAGCTGTTTGTCCATCAATCTCGAAAGAAAAATCTCTGGTTTTAATTGCATATTAATCTTTAAAATTTTCTGAATTAAAATATGCATTTGATTCCAAAATTTTTTAGCTTTTTTATAGGTCCACCAAACACGATAGAAAGTCCCCTCTTATTATTCATATTTCCAACATAAATTCAAAGTACTTTTATACATTTTAGATGCTTTTTCTAGTGATAAATACCAACAATACATCATTTTATAAAAATTCTCTTTAAGATTGTAACAGTGTAAATTTCAGTCCTTTCATCCACATATTCTCCCAACCAGCCAATTCTTCTTAAATTTTTAGCTCATTCAAATTCTTTCACATAACTGGCAGAAGAAAGCCGTACTAAGCTTGCTTCACTTACCAGGACTGGTTTCTTATACATAAAACCCAATAAAGTAAAAGAGATCCATGTACAGGAGACTGTTTCTATAGGAACTTGATATACATTTGAATGCATCTAAGTAAGGATGCACACTTCATTCCCTACCTACATTTCTGTTTACCTAGAGATATTGGACTAATATGCAGATAGCTACACACTAGACTTAGACTTAATAACTAGTACTTAACAGTTACTCAACTAATTAGTAACAGCTAACTGCATGCAAAAAATCAGCAACTCTACCTCCATCTCCACCAGATCCAGATGATAAAGCTGGCATCGTTCAGAACTTCAGCTAGGAGCTGGTAGCAAGTTTCACTTCAACTACTGGCAGACACGTTCCCCAATAAGGTTTAGGCAATTTCAAAGTGCCCTGAAAAGAATATAAATAAGGATAAATAAGATTACCAAAAACTGCAAGTGACTATAAGTGTTAGCAATTTGAAATATATTTCTTTAAATCATTACAAGATATTATTATAGAACTTTAAAAGATAGTATGCATTATTCTTACACTGTTTCTTCTACTCATGTGTATATATAGATGGATGATGGATGAATGTGGTGTGTTTAAGAACAAGCAAGGAAATTTTGATTTAAAGAGATGATATCCCAGTACCACCATAAACAACTGTCTGTTATGTTCTGTATGTTTTCAAAAGCAGCTTGCTTTTTGGCAAGCCATTTAAGAAAAAGCCCCTTGGATTCAGGTACTGTAGTTTTACCACTTTTTAAGAGGACTCCTAAAAAAGACTTTCTGGTACTGTCGCCTTGTCCAATTCTCAGAATTTACTGGAAGTTGTCTAGGAGAACATCTTTTATTTCCCTAGAAGGCATGGACATTGGGAAGCACCAAGGAACATATTGGTGGGCCAGGACAGAAACGATTACTACAACTACTACCACTCAAGTAGACTAAAATATTAACATACTTCTAAAATGTAGTTTATACTGATTTAAATCTTCTAAGTAGAATAATCATACCATTAAAAATGAAGCCAAAAATATGAACTTTTTTGGGGCATGCCAGCAAAAACGAAGAACATATATCCCCACGCTAACTCTAGCATTATATGTTCTCAGCTGGGAGTATGATTTTACTTTCATGTTATGATGAAAAAACATAACAACATTAAGCATACCTTTAGCATACTTCACATATATTTTTGTGTCCTCCCATAAGAGATTACATTACCAGCTTAAAATAATTAAGTTTGTAATTTGGCCACTTTCATATTGTGTTACTTGTATGATTAACACTAAAGCATGGTTTTATGAATGATGCACCTTACTCGTCGTCTACTGGTTCCAAACAAGTACAAATATCTCATTTGCAGCTTTCCTAAATAATTAGCTTCAGCAGCTGAACAGTATTTTCTAACAGCCTCTAAAATTGTTAGGACTTATTTCAGACAATGCAACTGTTTATAAAACAGAAGTTAAAACATTTCAACTTCTGATTTAAAAAAAAAAAAAGGATTACAGAATATTAAAGAGGCAGATGCACTGTGTTGTGGATAATCAAGTATGTTTGCTTGTGTGTGCTTAATTCTGCACTGAGTTATGGCTCTTAAGCACAACTCCATTTATTCAACCTTGTATGAATATCTCTACAGATTAAATTTTTAAAAGTCACTTGAAATCAGGCCAAGGACACAGTGTACAAGCATTGGAAAGCATCAATTCAATTTTTCTGGTATAAATGTAACATGCACATAGCAAAGCCAAAAAAATAAAATTTAAAACTTGGACCCAAAGTTATAGAGTTATTAAGGAATCAAAATACTAATTGAAGCCAACCAGCTTTTCATTATTGCTCACTAGATTGTTCATTAGCTTATTAGCTGTCTCTGGGTTCTTTCCAAAGTTAATCATTAAAATGTATTTAAAAATGAAAGTCCTATGAATTTAGAAAATAACTAGTGTTAATAAGAATAGATACCATTTACCATTTTTCTTTATTGTGGTTGAATTCTTTGACTTTCAGAACCTCTTATTTTAAAGAGTTGTGTGGCAATGTATATATACAGTATAGTGAAAATAAATGGCCTGGTAAAATCATTATCAGTAAAAAGCTTAAAATGAAAAAAATATTTTTCTCCACAAAACTTGTAAGTTCAGTTACATTTTTCAAGTGAAGCTTGCTTTGGTGGAAATGGTTTAAAATGCTTTGTAATTTTGCAGCAGAATACAGCTTATGGTATTGCTGGCTACTGCATGGAATTGATTTGCTGTGATACAGAAATACCAGCTGTTATAGTGTATCCTAAGAGGGATTACTAAATATTCTTCAGCTGAAGTTCAATCCATCTTTCCATAAAAACATAGCCAAAACCCAGGAACGTAAAAGGAATATCGAGTGCACCTGAGGCATTTACAATGCCCAATAGGACTGTTAAAACCAGCCATTTAAAGGGTTTAAAAATAAAAAAAAAGAAATCTCATTATTCCAGTGGTACCTTGTTTCTATATCACACTGTATCGGATTCTTCTGGCAGCTACCATGTGGAAACAGTGAAATATGTGAAGTTCAATAGAAAGTTGAATTTCCACCAGGCCCTTAGTAACCTCTCAGGCTCCTGTGGTACCTGTGCCATCTAGTGGTTATGTGGGCTTGTGCAATATCATCTTATAAAATAAACGTTGGAAGGGGCTGTTCAGGGCAATGACTCCTACCCGCTGCTCAATGGAGGAACCCAAATGAAAGCATCCTGATGATTCAGATTCTATCTGAATAACATCCAGAGAGAGAGAGTTCATTACCTCCCTTAATATCTGATTCAACAGTTGATCAGCTCTAAACACGGCATCGTTTTTTTCTCTAGCACTCAACTGGAATCTGCTTTCCTGAACTTAAGACCATTACTTCATGTCATTCCCTCCGGGATAATAAAGACCAGATTGCAACCTTCCAGAAGACTTAAAAGAGTGCCAGGATATCTTTCCTCAGTCAACTTTTACTCAGGATATCTTTTTATTGCTTTAATTGATTATGTGCCATCAAGTTGTTTTTGATTTCTAGTGACCATATATATAATTTTCTCCATGATGATCTATCCTTAACCTGGTCTTTCAGGTTTTCCAACAGTGCATTCATTGCCACTGTAACTGAGCCCATCCACCTTGCTGCTGTTCGTCTTCTTCTCTGGCCTTCCACCTTTCCCAGCATTAGAGCCTTCTCCAGAGAGCTGGGGCTTCGCATAATGTGTCCAAAGTAGGATAATTTGAGTGAGAACTATGGGTTGATTTGTTTGATAATCTATTGGTTTGTTTTCTTGTCTGTCCATGGTATTCTCAGGTGTCCTCCCTAATACCAAAGTTCGAAGGCGTCAATACTCTTCCTATCCTGCTTCTTCAAAGTCCAGCTTTCACTTCTATAGAGTGTCACAGGGAATACTATGGCTTGCATGATTCTGATACTTGTTGGTATAAGCACATCATGGCATTTGAGTATCTTCTCCAAGGCCTTCATGGCTGCTCTACCAAATGCTAGTCTGCAGCGTATTTCTTGACTGCTTGTCCCTTTACTGCTGATGGTTGATCCTAAAAGGCACCACTTTGATATCTTCATTGCTAATTCTAAGGCTGGCTGTTCTACCTGTTGTCATTAGTTTGGTCTTCTTTATATTTAATTTAATCCCATTTTTTTTACTTTGCTCCTTAACTTTTATTACTAGAGCTTGCAGATCCTTTGGATTTTCAGCTATCAGGGTAGTGTCATCAGCATAGTACAGGTTATTGATTTTAAAATCACCCTCATCTTCTTCCAATCCAGATTCCCTTAATATATATTCAGCATATAGGCTGAATAAATAAGGGAGAGTATACAGCCTTGTCTCACTTCTTTGCCAAACTGGAGCCATGTTTCGCCACGTTCTGTCCATAATGTGGCTTCCTGGCTTGTATATAAGTTTCTCATGAGGACAATGAGATATTCTGGGATTCCTACTTTTCTGAGCACATTCCACAGCTGGACATGACCGACACAATCAAAGGCCTTTCTATAATCAATAAAGCACATAGTGACTTCTTTTTGGTATTCTTTGGCTTTCTCAGTTATCCATCGTGTATCAGCAATAACTCTCATGTTCTAAAGCCAGCTTGAACATCTGTCATCTCTTTTTCCATGTAGGGCTCTAATCAGTGTTGGATGATCCTAAGTATTATTTTGCTAGTCTGTGAAATTAAGGATATGGTATGATAGTTTGCACACTCTGTTAAATCTTTTTTTGGTATTGGAATGTATATTCACCTCTTCCAATCTGCTGGCTACCATGTCATTCTCCAGATTTGCTGGCATAGCTTGGTTAGAACCTTTACTGATTCTTTTGTTTTATTGCCTTTTTATTTAATAAATTTAAATAAAATTTAAATGTATTAAATAAAATAATATTTATTTTAAATATTATTTTAAAATAATATTTAAAATAAAACAATTGTTAAAATAATATTTAATAATCATTTTAATAGACTTTTTGTCTATTTTTTTAATATTAATCTTTCTCGCTCCCTCTATTTTATATTAGCAATTTCACAAATATATCAAGCTAAAAGATTATACATATGATCAGTCAATGAGCTTTGTGGCTGATTAAAATTCAACACTGGATTTCTACACTTCTACTCTAACCTAGGTTTGGTCCACCAGATAAAGTCCAGATATGTGAATTATAATGCCTATAATCCTTACCTATTACCCACAATGATTGGAGCTGATGAACCCGCTGTTCTCATCTGGAACAATGAGATCACCAGATGGTTTATCCGTTCTCTAATCCAGCATTTTACAATATTATACCCTTTAAATGTGGACACTAATTCCTGTTATCCCAGCCAGTATCCTAGGTGGAGGAAGCCTGCTCCAACTTTCAACTCACTGGCTCACAATCATGATGTTCTACAATTTCTATAGCCCTCTTCATTCTCTTTTTCAAAACAAATGGACACACAGTGAAAGTACTTACCCAATACACTGAACCAGAGGTCTCAAACTTTGCTGTATCACAACCCTAAAATGATAGCTGAATTTCCATGGCCCCCATGAATAAAATTAACTATTTCATTGTGGTTAGGGTTGGAGAAGAAATAAACATACCACTTCAAAAATTAAAACGGAATCTATACATCAGAGGGTTTCTCAAACTTTGCTGCACTGCTGTTGCCCACATAAAGAAAGCTGTCATACTGATAAAAAATACAAAATGTGTTAGATATTCATGGGCAAACTGCTTGCTGAAATGTGTATATTATAGGAAATGTATACAAAAAGACCTGCCTATTTTAATGTTTTTTTTTTAAAGCAAAGTGACATAAACAAATTGAAATAAACAGCTTTCAGAAAATGACTAAGCAAGCAAACCGGACTCAGACTTG